GTCCACCCTGTCCCAAGCACATCCTGTGCCACCCCAGTCCCTGCCCTCTTAGCATCCAGGGCAGGGGGATCTTCTTGGCTAACCACCGTCCATAATTCTAGGGGTAACTTGATTTCTCAAGACCCGGCTCTGGGAGAGAGGGAATCTGGGATTTAAACTCAAGTGATTCCAAACTTCTCACTAGTCTTTATGCAGCTTACAGTCAGAGTGTTAGGCAAAAACCAAAACACAAAGAAACAAACAAAAAAACCCTTCATTCATTTAACATTTATTTACCACCCACAGACATAGGCTTGTCCACAGTTATATGCCTCCCAAGTCTGGGTGTGAAGCTAATGTTTAGAAACCATGGGCTGGGTGGGGCAGGTCAAGTGCCACCTCGGATACCCACAATCCCATATCAAATGCATGTTCAAATCCTGCTACCTTGGCCTTGCACGGTGGCCTAGTGGCTGAAGCGCTCACCTTGAACTCGCTGGGATCCCATATTGGTGCCAGTTCTAATCCCTGTTGCCCCACTTCCCATCCAGCTCCCTGCTTGTGGCCTGGGAAAGCAGTCAAAGATGGCCCAAAGCCTTGGGACCCTGCACCCGTGTGGGAGACCTGGAGGAAGAGGTCCCTGACCCCTGGCTTCGGATTGGCACAGACTGGCCATTGCGGTCACTTGGGGAGTGACTCATCGGACGGAAGATCTTTCTCTCTGTCTCTCCTCCTCTCTGTATATCTGACTTTGCAAAAAAAAAAAAAAAAATCTTAAAAATTCTGCGTCCTGTCAAAGCCCCTGGCGAGGCAGTGGATGATGCGTGGAGTGCGTGAGCCCCGACCACACACATGAAGTTCCAGGCTCCCAGTTTCAGCCTGACCCAGCTCTGGCTGTTGCAAGCATTTAGGGGAATGAATCAGCAAACCGAAGACTTCTGTGTCACACTGTCCTTCAGCTGGTGAAAATAAACAAATCTCCAAAGAATCATCTCAGTAATACTGCTAGGAAAACTAAGCCACGCCTGGTGCAATGGCTCAATCTTTCCCTTTCAAGTGTATCCCATATGGGCATCAGTTCGTGTCCTGGCTGCCCCACTTCTCTTCCAGCTCCCTGCTTGTGGTCTGGGAAAGCAGCCGAGGCCGGCCCAAAGCCTTGGGACCCTGCACCCACATGGGAGAACTGGAAGAAGCTCCTGGCTCCCGGCCAAGATAGGCTCTGTTCCGGCCATTGCAGCCACTTGGGGAGAACCAGCGGATGGAAGATCTTTGTCTCTCCTTCTCTCTGTAAATTTACTTTCCAATAAAAGTAAATGCATCTTTTTATTTATTAATGAAGCCATGGTTGTCTGGGGAAGGGGTCCTTCAGGAGCCAGGGGGAAGGGGTGATACTGGATCATAAGGAGTTGGACCAAGGAGAGCCCTTTTTATTTTTAAGTTTCAAAAAGGTTATCTATTTTAAAAGCAGAGGAAGAGAGAGTAAGAGAGAGGGGAACCAAGAGAAAAGCCTTCCTCTGGTCCATTTTGCAAGAGCATCGCGACAGCCAAGCAGGATCCAGGAGCTGTGCATTCTATCTATACCTGCCGAATATCTGGACCATCGTCTGCTGCTTTCCCTGATGAATTCTCAGACCTGGAGAAGTGGAACTGTCCTTGTGTCCTAGTGGTTGAAGTTGCCGCTTGCAACATAGGCATCCCATATGGGTGCTGGTTGAGACCTGGCTGGTTCACTTCTTCTTCTTTTTTTAAGTTTAATTTTATTTTTAGTGTTGTTTACATAGTTGAAATGGATGTCTGCCCATGTGGGTCACTGGTTAGTTTGAGGATGGTTGAGGTGGGAGGGAGGAGGGTGAGACAAATGTTTCCAATTTTTTTTTCCATATATCTACAGGGAAGGTAAGAAAGGAGGGGATTGCTCCTTGCAGCCAAACAACATTAGCACCTGGGGATGGGGGACAGTCATTTGATGTCATCTTAGAGACCCTGATACAAGGAAGAATGTTCCAAAAGTGTTACTTGAGTGACTTTGATAGTTCTCAAACATTCTTGGTTTCATTGTTCCAGGATTGAGAAAATCTTTCCAAGGTCTATTGATTAACAAAATCTATTTTAGGGGCCCAGCTTGATAGCATAGAGGTTAAAGTCCTCGCCTTGAATACGCCAGGACCCCATATGGGCGCCGGTTCTAATCCTGGCAGTCCCAATACCCATCCAGCTCCTTGCTTGTGTCCTGGGAAAGCAGACGAGGACGGCCCAAAGCCTTGGGACCCTGCACCTGCGTGGGAGACCTAGAGGAGGCTCCTGGCTTCGGATTGGCACAGCTCTAGCAGTTGTGGCCTTTGGAGAGTGAATTGATTAACTGAAGATCGTTATCTCTGTCTTTCCTCCTCTCTGTATATCTGCTTTTCTAATAAAAATAATCTTTTAAAATGTCTACCTTACTGCATCCAGACACTTGCTGCCAAAGCTTGACCAGAAGAGTTGTTCAACCTGTTCCATCTCTGCTTTCCATCCTCTGAGTAGGCACTTGCCGTCCCTTGCTGGCCTAACTGAGCTGGCCATTGTGTTCCCTGTGTGCATCTGGTCATGCTGTTCACTGCACAGGCATCAGCAACTGAGGCGGCCCAGTCCTGATACATGCGCTCCAAGCTCAGGCTAGATAACCTGTGGTTTTTCCCTGTGGCCGGGGATGTCTGCAGTTTGAGTCCAGATATCTAGTTGGAGAATCCTCAAAAAACCTCACCTGGGTGATCAGGCACCAGGCCTGTCTCTCGTGCATCAGCTAGTGGGGGTCAAGTTCAGTGTCTCCCGCATCAGCCTATGCACACACTGGTGAATGCAGTTACTTGTTCAATTCCATCCCCAGCCCCATCTCCCATGCTAACCGATGGGTGTTGTGGCTTAGCCCAATCCAGAGTGTCACAAAATCAGCCCTTGTGCACTCCAGTGGGAACTGTGGCTAGTTGAGGCAACTCCCAAAACCCCGCAATAGGCCTGCCCCGAGTCCTGGTTCCTGTGCATGATGGGATGTGTAGTGTACCTGGGCCACATCCCATCTGGTTCTTGTACACACCCATGGGTGCTGTGACTTGGGTGCTCCTGTTCTACTTTTGCTCCCTGCTAATGTGCCTGGGAAAGCAGCAGAGGAGGGCCCGTGTGCTTGAACCCCTGCACCCTTGTGGGAAACCCAGAGGAGGCTCCGGGTTCCTGGCCTGGCCCGGCCTCTGCCGTGGTAGGTATTTGGGAAGTGAACCAGTGGATGTAAGATCTCTTTCTGTCTTTTCTCTGCCTCTCTGTCACTGTGACTTTCAAATAAATAAATCTTTAAAAAGGAAAAAGTGGCAGAGGATGGCCCAAGGACTTTCTATACTAAGAAGTCTGGACATCATCCATTTCCCTGAACAACTGATGGAACAACTTACGAACAAGTGATTGCTGAGGGATCCACTCACTCTGGTCTAAAGGGACCATTAGGTTCCCCGGGCATCCGAACTGGAATCCCCTGGGTATCACCCCTTTGCCCTGTGTGTGCCTCAGGGGAAGCCTTATTTAGGCTGGCCTGGCTCTGCCAAGCTCTCCTTGGAATGTGTCTGCTTAGGGGGAGGGGTGACCCAGCTGTCACTGTCCATCTGCCTTCCGTGGAGTCCAGCCCTAAGTTCTGGCCCCACACCTTGCCCTCGGTTGTCTTAGTCTTTTTGGGAGATTTCTTTCCACATGGGTGTGTGGCTGGGAGCCTACCAACTCCCAAGCATTCAACTTGGACTCTCAGGGTGGGCTGACTTCAGACTCGACTTGCTCACCCCTTCACTGTAGATGAGCAACTGAGCTCCCCAAAACACTTTTTTTTTTAAAAGATCTATTTAGGGTGCCTGGTGCAGTACCCTAGTGGCTAAAGTCCTAGTCTTGCATGCCCTGGGATTCCACATGGGTACCAGTTTGTATCCTGGCTGCTCCACTTCCCATCCAGCTCCCTGCTTATAGCCTGGGAAAGCAGTGGAAGATGGCCCAAAGCCTTGGAACCCTGCAAACACGTGGGAGACCCAGAGGAAGCTCCTGGCTTTAGATCAACTCAGCTCTGCCCGTTGTAGCCACTCCCCCAAATCAGCGAATCACAGATACTCTCCTGGAGGAGGTCACTCTGAGCGAGAACTTGGGGTTTTTGATGCTTGTTTCTTTTTCTGGCACACCCTCTGTGCTCCTCCATCCCTCTGGACAGTGTTCCTTCCAAATGGGCTCCTTGAGGCTCCTCCCCAGTGGGGAAGCATAAGAATCACCACCATGACTCTAGGCTTCTGTGATTCATGAACTCATCCCCTGTCCAAAGGGGATAATAATAACGGCTATCTCATGGGATGCTCCCTGGATGAGATCATGAAGTTGCCAGACTTAACCCAGTGTGGAGTGTATCCTGGAGGATGCCTAACCACCATGGTCCCCTCCTGTGCCCTGCCCTTTCCTGTAGTCAACCACAGAGCACTGCACTTGCTAAGCATCAACCCTAGAGGTCTGGATCAAGCAGACAGCTTCTGTCCAAGCTCTCTTTGGCCATGGTCTGTCTGAGGGAGGCCATGCCTGTACCCCTGTCACGGGTGGAGCTCTGAGCAGCAGCTCTACCTGCCTAGGGTCACACAGCCTGCAGAGGCAGGGCTTTTGCCCCTGCCCTTGCACCATGTGGCCCCACTTGTCACAGATCGCCCTCATCTTCTTGGAGCCAGTGTGTCTCCTGGGGCAGGGTGGAGGGTGAAGGTGGGGGTGGGGGCTCTAAGGCGGTGGAGCAGGGCGGGCTCTCCTCCCAAGAATCTGGGACGTCAAGGCCTGCCACCTGCTCAGAGGCTTAAATTTCTCTACAAGGGCCCTTGGCTAAATTAGGTAATGGGCTAGGATGCTGAGAGGGGTGGGACTTGCTGACCCCAGGATCTGATTGGGCAGGAGACCCAGTCCTGGGGAGCAGGGAGGCGGGAGGACAGGATGCCCCTACAAATGCCAGGGGGCTGGAGCAGGCCTCTGCGTCTTCGTGTAGTGGAGTGCAGGAGAGGTGGCCCGCGGCAGGGAAGGCCCAGCAATCCGCAACCATGGTAAGGCCATCTGCCCTCTTTCGAGATAGATGAGGGTGTTCTGTGGGGGTAGGGACTTGGATGTTTAATGGGGAACAAGAAAGTTCTAGAATCCAGGTGTTCCACAGGAATCCTTGGAGGGAGGACCTTTCCTTCTCTCAGCCAGGGAGGGCTGGCTGTTTTAGGGATGGGTCCTGCCCACCTCAGAAGTTTCCAGCAGTCACAGAGCAGCGAGGGGTCTTAGCTTGTCTTCCTTTCCGTGGAGATGGGGTCCCTACAGGGCTGCCGTTAAAGCCTTCCTGGGAAGGGTCTACAGACAACTCAGGTGTGGGGACCCGAGGATGATGGGAAGGGGCAGAAGATGCAAACCGGAGTCGAGGGACCCCCCTCCTTCCCAAGAGGGGCTTCATTTAGAGTTGGCATTTTCCCCTGAGATTTTCCCCTGCAAGGAGTAACTGGACCCCAGAAGCCAGCTGCTGCTGCCCATGCCCAGCTAAAAATAGCCTGCCCTCCTGGCACAGTGGGGAGAGGAGGGCAAGCCGGAGTAAGGGAGAGAGAGGAGGCTTGGGGCCAGCAGCTGCAGAACTCCTTGGCCTTCTTACCCCCTCTGTACTGTCAGCCTCAGACTGGAGCCCCTGGCCCGATGGCTCCAGTGTCTGGGATGTGGTGGTGCTCAGTACCCTTGTGTTGTATTATTCTTGCTTTGGGTGTAAAAAGCTTCATCAGGAAGTGGGGCAGGCACCTGGCAAAACTCTTTCCCACCTCTCATTTCATCTCACCCTCCAGAGGCCGTGCTTTGGATGCTATGGGACTTGCCCAAGGTCCCTAGGGCTGGAGAGGGAGTGATGGGTGGGAGTGGTGGGCCTGGACTGGACCACTCACAGGCACTGACAAATGAAGACCTAGAGCACAGCTTGTATCTCCTCTCCTGTTCTTAAACATGGACGGGTGCTGTGGGGACACACAGGTGTGCTGGTGATGGTTCCCACAGGTGAACAGGAAGAGGGTGCTGCGGGGGGTGTTGAGACCCAAGGGAGAGGGGCTGCCCCTTTCGGTGCTGACTTGGGTGTCTCCTGCAGACGGACCAGCAGGCTGAGGCCCGGTCCTACCTCAGCGAGGAGATGATCGCGGGTGAGTGTGGGGGGTGGGGTCAGTGTGGTGTTGGGTGGATGAGTGTGGTGGGGAGAGGGATGCGGCTGGCTCGTGGATGTGAGCCAGTCCAGCCAGCCCCCAAACTCCTGCTGTCCACCCGGCAGAGTTCAAGGCCGCTTTTGACATGTTTGACGCCGATGGCGGCGGTGACATCAGCGTCAAGGAGTTGGGCACTGTCATGAGGATGCTGGGCCAGACGCCCACCAAAGAGGAGCTGGATGCCATCATCGAGGAGGTGGACGAGGATGGTGAGTGGGTGTGCTGCGCCACAGCCCTGCCAGGGAGCGTCTGCCAGGGAAGGGTGGGGCCGTGGGGTCGTGCTCAGTGCCTCCCCCGCGCCCCCCAGGCAGCGGCACCATTGACTTTGAGGAGTTCTTGGTCATGATGGTGCGCCAGATGAAAGAGGACGCCAAGGGCAAGAGCGAGGAGGAGCTGGCCGAGTGCTTCCGCATCTTTGACAGGTGCGTGGCCGTGGTGTCCCAGGGATGCTGGGCTTTCCCAGCCGGGCCTGGGAAGGGAAGAGTGGCTGGAGGAGGCGTGGGGGAGGTGGCGGCTGACCCTTGAGCCTCGGGCCCTGCAGGAATGCCGACGGCTACATCGACGCCGAGGAGCTGGCCGAGATTTTCAGGGCCTCTGGGGAGCACGTGACGGACGAGGAGATCGAGTCCCTAATGAAGGACGGGGACAAGAACAACGACGGCCGCATCGACTTCGACGGTGAGAGCAGCAGAAACCGCGCTTGGTCCAGACCGTGACTGGGCGTGGCCTAACCAGGGTCGGGCGTGGCCTGTTCAGGACGGGCGTGGCCTTGTCACGGTTGGGCGTGGCCTGGCCGGGGCTGGGCGTGGTCCGGAGCAGGTGCAGCGCTCCAACCCTGACTCTCTTGCTTGCCTGCAGAGTTCCTGAAGATGATGGAGGGCGTGCAGTAAAGAAAGATCTCCGCTTGCGCTCTGTCGGCCCGTTCCCCGCCCCACGACGGGGCTGCGGCCCCTTCTGGCTCCGTGTCTGGAAGGAATAAAAAAAGAAATGTTGCCAAGCTTGTGGCCTGAGTGAGGGGACCTTCTGCCTGGGCGCTACGAGGTCGCGGCCATCAGATCTAAGAGAGCCGGTTCTGGGCCGGGGTGGCAGCGGCGGCAGCTTGGAGATGTACGGCGGTTGCGCCGGGTGCTGGCGGAAAGCAGCCGCGAGGGGCTTGGAGCTGAGTCAGGCCGAGCCGGCGAACCGCGGACGGTGCCTAGAAGGCGTACCAGGGGAAAAGGGGTGAAGCACCCTACCTTCCACATCACCGTGTGTTCCGGAATCTCTGGACCATGGTGTCCATTTAGCCCAGGCTGTGTGATTTCTGCGGAATCCCTCCCAGCGCTGGGCAGCGGTCCTAGCCGTGGTAGGGAAGGTAGAGGCTCTGATCTCATCACCCTGGATCCCGGCATCCAACTCCCTCCTCTGGCTCAGTCAAAGGTCAGCAGCGTGGATATCTGACCCGGCCCCTCTCCTGGCAGAGTTCCAGAATCAACTCCAGATTCCTTCCTTGCTGCAGCCATTCCAGACGGGCTTGGGCAGCGTTTTTCGGTCTCTGCCTGCCTGAGCTGAGGTGCTGAGGAACTCGGTCACTGTCCCTTCCCACCCCCCTTGATGCCTGCCTCCACAGGCTGCAGGTCTGGCTCCCTCGGCTTCCTCCACAACTCAGTTCTGTATGGCAAGTGTCAGCGTGTGGCTTATCAAGCGTAGCGGTTGTTGAGTCAGGCCCCCTGAGTTTAAACCCTTCCTGCCTTGATAAACTCAGTACCTCAGTTTTCCCATCCACGAAATGGGGATAATGATTATACTCAGCTCACAGTGACTCTAGGACAAGGTAGTATGTGCAAAGTGCTGAGAAGTGTGCCAGGCATTGCACACTGCCACCAGCACCATCATCATCGTCCTCGAAACTCAGACCTGGTGCTTCACTCATTGCTTCTGCCTTTCCTTTTCCACCTAGGTGTGTCTTCTTCGTCCCACTTACATAGCTCCCAGCTTGTAAGTTGCAAGGGCAGTGCTTGGAACTCGGTACGCTTATTGAGCACCTGCCGTGCCCCAAGCCATGCACACATCATCTCTCCTGTCCACATGCCACCCTTGGGGGCCAAGGCTGGGAGCATCCCCATTTCACAGCTGAGGAAACAGACCTGTGGGGGTGAGGTGCAGCAGCTCACCGCTGTGTTGGGTAATCAGGGAGGGGTCTGGGAGGAGTCTAAAGGACCCAGAAAGGGGCTGGTGCTCACCCTCCACCTGCTGCTGGTCTCCTTACATGGCTTCATCCCTCCAGGGTCACCACCCTGGCTAAGAGCGGCAGTGACCAACCTGCCCCCTCTCCACCCACAGGATGGCCAGCAAGGCTTTTGTCTCTGGTTTCAGGTTCATTTTTTGAAAGGATTTTCTATTGGAAAGTCAGATACGCAGAGGAGGAAAGATCTTCTGCTAATTCACTCCTGAAGTGGCTGAGCCGAGTCCAGGGTCCCAAGGCTTTGGACTGTCCTTTACTGCTGGGCTACTGCGCTGGGCCCATTTGTTCTGTTTTAAAGAGTTAGAGCGCAACAGGAAGAGAGGGGTTTTGTATCCACTAGTTCCTTCCCCAAATGGCTGCAGCAGCCAAGGCAGGGCCAGGCTGAAGCCAGGAGTACCACCTGTCTGTATCCAGCTGAAGCCAGTGCTGTGAGAAGGGCCATACCCTGGCAATGCTGCTCTGTGTCTCCCAAAGAGACAACAGGGATATCATCTGGGAGCTGCTTAGGATGGGTACCCTATGTCTTGTTCCAAACTAACAGAATCAGAATTTATACTAAAGAAACAAACAAAACCCAAATCGAAGCACAGTAGCCCGAGTTGGGCCTCGTTGAAGCCAGGAGCATGGACTTAACCAGACCCTGCTGCTGACAACCATTTCACACACTGATGCAGAAGTGACAAAACCCAAGTCCATACACAGCTTGGCCTTACAACCTGTCACCTGCTGTCACCCCTGTGCAGGGGTGCAGGGTGAGAGCCCAGAGGGCAAGACTACCCACAGCCTGCAGACCCCGAGTCCCTCCAACCCCAGGGAACTGCAAAGCAGCGATCTGTACAAAAACAATCAAAAACATATTTATTTAATATACATCACAAGAACTAAAAACAAGACTTAATTTAAAAAAAGACCACAGCTCAGGAGACGGAGTCCAATACAGAAACCAAGGAAAGGACAGATGTTGCGAGCAGACTGACAATGACGACGGTGACAGCACAGGAGTGTGGAGGGCCTGGGATCAGGGGTCTTGGCTGGAGACCTGCTTGGAGTAGGTTTCCTGCAGGTACTTCTTAAAAGCTGGAAGAGAACAAGCAGGTCCATGGTAAAGCGGCGGGAGGGGGCAGCTCAGAAGGGAGGCTGCAGGAGGGGGGTGGCCCCAGCATTGCAGAACCTTGCCCCTGCTGCCTGTCCAGAAGTGCCCCTCTGCCACCCCCTCCCCTTCTCCTCAAGTTTGGGAGGAGTCAATTTCCCTTTTACGTCTACAGCCAGCAGAAGCACCAAGGCAGAGGTAATGTTAGCCTTCCACCTGCAGGACCCTGACTCAGGGAAGGGTCATGGCAGGATGGTGGACAGGGGCCCCACCTGTGGGGTTCTTCCAGAGCTCAGCAGCGTGTGTGTTCAGAGGGCTTTCGATGTTGGGCTCTGTGGGAACGTAGAGGAACAGGCAGGTGAGTGGCTGGCTGGGGAGTCTGGCGGCTCCCAGGACACCTGGGCACAGGGATGCAGGGGGCTGAGCTTACCTCCTAGCAGGCTCTGGATGGACAGCAGAATGGTTCTGACGTCATACAGCGCAGACCACTTGTCCTTCAGGATGTCCAGGCAGATGTTGCCCTGGGTGTCCACGTTGGGGTGGTAGCAGGGTGTGAGAAACTTGACCGTGGGGGCGTTGTAAGGGTAGCCACTGGGGAACTCCAGGGAGAGCTTATATCTGAGGTCTTCGTACACCTGGCATTTGGAGAAAAGCCAGCAGTGGTAAGGGACTCTGGTCTGAAGGCTGTGAACTGGCATCCCCAGGGATTTCCAGTTATAGTACTGGGTTGGGATGGGCATTGGGGAACAGCTGCACCCCCACAGCACAGTGCTGCTGTAGCTGGGGTCCAGCTTTTGGTCCCTGAGAGATGGTGAGTGATGGTCCAAGTCCTTGGGCCCCTTGCTGGCGGCATGGGGGACCTGATGGAGTTCTGAGCTTCTGGTTTTGACCTGCTGCAGCCATTTGAGGAAAAGAACCAGTGGGTGGCTGATCTGTACTCATTCCATCTTTCAGATGTGTAAATCTTGAAAGCAGTGGAGGATGGCTCAAGCCCCTGCACCTGTGGTGGGGCCTACAGGAAGCTCCTGGCTTTGAACCAATCCAGCTCTGACCATTGTAGCCACTTGGAGAGTGAAGAAGGGATTCAAGATCTCTCTTTTTCAAGTTAAATGAGGCAGGTCAGAGAAGGGTGAGAAGGGGGGACAACACTTCCACTGGCTGATTCCCTCTCCAATTAACCCTCACAGCTGGGACAGGGACTGGGTCAGGTCCAAGCCAGCAGCCTGGAATTCCATCTGGCTCCCAAGTACTTAGGCCATCATATGTTGCCCTAGGAGGCTGGATGGGAAACAGCTGGGGCTCTGACTGATGCTAACAAGGGATGAAGGTGTCCCAAGTGGCAACTTTGTAACCAGCAGTGCCCCAGTACCTGCTCAGACAGGAACTGCGGCCATGGGGAGGAGTCTGGAGCTTCACTCCAGCGCAGGAGTGATCAACGTCCCGGCTCAGTTCAAGTCTTCATCGCCTGGCCCCTCCCAGGCAATCTAAGACAGGTGGCTCTCCTTAAACCCATCTCCCTGAGGGAGACAACAAGGCCCAGGGTGCATGGCCGCCAACTGCCTTGCGCAGCTAAAAGTTTGGCATGAACTCGGCATTTGAGTTTCACTGGCCACCGCTGCCTAGCCTTGGCTGGCAAAGTCCCTGTCACTCAGCACCACAATCCCATACTCACTGTGCCAGCTGCCCCGTGGATGGTCCCGATCCATTTGAAGAGGTTGTCTGACTCAGGGAAGGCAGAAATACCCTTGTCACCGGACATCTGTGGGAGACAGCACTGGCTGGGTTGCACAGTTCCCCTCTGGGCAGGGCAAAGCCCCTCCCTGATCTCATCACACTGGGGCTAAGGGAGAGGCTGGCTAGAGGGCACACGGCAGGCTGAGGGAGCGCTGGTGCCCGTTAGGAATTCAGGTATCCAGTGTGGGCTTGGACGGGCTCGCGTGGACATGCAAGCTTCAGAACAGGCTGGTGGGTGGCGAGGGTCTCATGAGATTTCGGGACCGAGTTGCAGGAGGGAGGCGAGAATCCCGCAAGAAAAGTTGAGGTGGGAACGTGGGACTCTCCCAGGACAAATTGCACTCAGCTGTTCTTCCTCAGGCCCAGCAAGCGGGCGCAGAAAGGGGAAGGAGGATATTGGGAACTGGGCTGGAGGGACAAGGTGGGCCAATCGGGCGCTAGTCACTCACCATGAGGGTCATTAGCTCCTGCTGCAGCCTGAAAAAGAGCATTCCGGGTCGGCCAGGGGTGCGGGGGACGCCGCCCTCCCTCCCGACGCCGGTCCCGATCCCAGGCTCCCGCAGGGCGAATCCGGCGAGCCCTCCAGCCCCACCGACCCCTGGCATCCCCGCCGCCGCGACCCTCTGCCCGGGTCTCCTGAGCGCAGGAGGTGGGGGTGTCGGAAGTCCCTGCCCTCGGTCCCACATGGCGCCAGGAGCGTCCGACGCCCCTCACCACCCAGTCCAGCAGGCGGGGGTCTCCTCAGTCTCCCCCATGCCCACTGCAGTCCGGGGCCGGCGAATGTCACCTCCGCTCCGCTCACCTCTTGCCCACCGGGCCCCGCGCGGCGCCCCCGCTGGGCTCGGCTCCCTTGCGGGCCGCGGCGGCGACGCTGGCGGCGGCTGGATCCCGATTTTGCGAGGCCATTCGGTCGGCGTACAGGGACGAGGAAGCAGCTCGGAGAACAAGACGCTAACTGCAGGATGCCGGCCCACCCGCCCGCGTTTGAATTGTAACCCCCGGGCGGCGCCGGCCAATCAGCGACTCGCTTGGGTTTGATCCAGCCAATGGAGCGCGCAGGAGCTCTCTGTCACTGCTAAGCCCACCCACAGGCGCAGAGCTATTGGGCGGCGCGGGTCCTGTTTCTAACGTCCGAATGGCAGGAGAGGCTGCCAGTAACTAACGACTCTGTAGCGGATTGGTGGCCGGTTTAGTAAACGCCGACCATTAAAGGGCCCAGAAGGCGCCCACGTGGGCCTGAGCGGGTCACGGCGCGCTCCGCTCCCGGATCCCCGGCACGCCCTGGCCGAGCCCTGCTTCCGCGCACTGTGCCCGGGATGCCGCCCCCCAGCGCAAGCCAGTACTCCTAGCCCGAGCCCCTAGGGTGGGGGCTCAGAGAGCTGGAAGCCCCAAGGCGGGTTAAACTGGAGGCCGAAAGCCCCCACGAGCAGACTGCTTATTGTAAAAGGCAGAGAGGGTGGTGTTCTTCCTCTCTGGTTCACCTCCCAAATGCCTGCAACAAGTGCCAGGGGTCCATGCATCCAACCGCCTGTTGCCTCCCACGAGCACTGGCAGGAAGCCGGATGCCAAGCAGGTTGGGGAGGTGGGCGTCCCCAGGGGTGATTTTTGCAGCATAAGGCTGCGAGGTTTTTTTTTTTTAGGTTTATTTATTTTTATTGGAAAGTCAGATATACAGAGAGGAGAGACAGAGAGGAAGATCTTCCATCTGATGATTCATTCCCCATGTGGCCGCAACGGCTGGTGCTGCGCCAATCCAAACCCGGGAATCAGGAACCTTTTCTGGGTCTCCCATGCGGGTGCAGGGTTCCAAAGCTTTGAGCCATCCTCAACTGCTTTTCCCAGGCCACAGGCAGGGAGCTGGATGGGAAGTGGAGCTGCCAGGATTGGAACCGGCACCCATATGGGATCCTGGCACATTCAGGGCGAGGACTTTAGCCGCTAGGCCCTAGGCTGTGAGGTCTTATCACGCTTCTACACCTTGTTGGCTGTGAGCCCCGGAAAAAGTCAGTGTATTAATCTGTGCGATTGGGGTAACCAGAGCCCACTCCTTTTCATAGAGTGTGTTATCACACTCCAATGGAGCCAGCACTCATATTCTGCCACATTTGGTAGTGAGACAAGGCAGAGAGGGGAGGGAGGGCAGGACGGTCAGCCACGTGGTGCCCCCAGCCTGGTCTCACAAAGCCAGGGCTGCCCTGTGATGGGCGGGGCGCTCTGTCCTCTCCCACATCTAGTGCCACGGTCTTTGGGATTGTGTCAGTTGCCACAGCAGGCTCAGTATCTGAGTTTATTAAAAACTTTTAATTGCTTATCCTAATCACTTTACAAATACAGAACCACATGCCAGTCTGGGGGTGCTCTGCAGTGAGCTGCTGCAGACCAGCCCAGGCACAGCTTAATGCTGCTGACATCCGTCCAGGCGCAGTCCCAGGACTGGCCTCGCCACGGGGGGTGGGGGTCCTTGGTGGCGGGCTGCCCAGCGGGGCGGATGGGGGAGGGGGTCTCAGCTCTGCGGGGGTGCCTCGGCAGCACGGTGCTCGTTCTCAGTGCGCAGCGTCTCCATGTACTTCCGCATCTTCTCCACCATCCAGGAGGGCAGCACGAAGGATTTCAGCTCCTCCAGCTTCAGGTCCAGGCATCCTCTGGAACACAGAATGCAAGGGAGCAGTGGACATGAGGCAGGTGGGCCTGGCCTCCAGTCGTGGCTGCTGAGGGTGGGGGTGGGGGCGGGGGTCGGGAGCCCTGGCTGGCTTTACCTGTAATCATCGCTGGCCGCGAGGTCCCGGATGTCTTCTTCAATGAGGAGGTAGGCCTGGGGCAGGAGCAAGGGACACGGATCACAACCTAGGATTCCCTTCACTCCTGCAACAGCCAGAGCTGAGCCAATCTGAAGCTAGGAGCCACTTCTAAGTCTCCCATGCGGATGCAGGGTCCCTAGGCTTTGGGCCATCCTTTATTGCTTTCCCTGATGACAAATAGGGAGCTGGATGGGAAGTGGGGCCGCCGGGATTAGAACTGACGCCCATATGGAATCCTGGTGTGTTCAGGGCGAGGATTTTAGCCACTAGGCTACTGTGCCGGGCCCTGTAATTTTTTTAAAGCATTTATTTATTTTGAGAGTTACAGAGACACAGAGACAGAAGCCTGCATCCACTGGTTCACTGCCCACATAGCTGCAATGCCAGGACTAGGCCAAAGTCAGGAGTCAGAAGCTTTCTTCCTGGTCTCCCATGTGGATGACTGCTGGGGTCCGTGCAGTAGATGTGGGGGACATGAGGGGGTGAAGAGTGTTCCATTGCAGGCAGGGCCCACCCGGCGGATGTCTCTACAACCACCTGAATGCAACTCCACCTTCTTTTGCATGGACACTGGACCACCCTGCGGAAGAATTCTAATCCATCCTGGCATTTGCTACTGCGAGGTTAACCTTTTGCTCAGCCTGAGCTTGGAGGTCAATGTCTTGCAAATTCCTATTGTCTTGGCTGTCCCCATTGAACCTTTGCTAATCAAGGGACCTGTATTTAGGCTTTCATTCTTTCCTTGATTTTTAAGTTCTCCTTTTCTTTGTGATACAAGATTGAGTTGTAGGTTAAGAATCCTAGCAGGAACTTCTAGGTAATGTTAGCAGGAACTTCTATTGTTTCTAGGTAAAACTAATGGCAGAATTATCCTTAGAAACACCCACTTGTTCATGACGTAAAAAGTCTGAGCCAGAATTTGACTGATTTTGTATAAATAAAGCGGACAGCTTTCCCGCATGGTCCATTATGATCATGAAGTCCTAGTGGTCCGTCTCTTTCTTTCCTCTTTGCGCCTCATCCACGCACCCTTCGCGAGTTCCGAACTCAGCTGGAGCTGGACTCCGGCAGATGACAGGGGTCCAAGCACTTGGGTTCCTCCACTGTTTTTCCCCAGACTATTAGCAGGAGTTGTATCAGAAGTCGAGCAGCCGGGACTGGAACAGGCTCCCCTATGGGATGCTGGTACCACAGGTGGCACCTTTCCTTGCTATGCCACAATGCTGGTCTCTCACCATGTTGTATGGCAAAGATTTACTTACTGAATTGTTTTGAAAGACAGAGCGTGTACATGTGCACGTGTGTGAAAGGGGACGGGGAAAGAGAGACACTGATCTTCCATCTTTCATTTGACCCACTTCCCAAATGGCTGCAAGGCAGATCTGAGGCAGGCTGAGGCCAGGAGCCATGCCCCTTATCCAGCTCTGCCAACTGGATGGCAGGAGCCCACACAATGGCATCATCTTCTGCTGCCTTCTCAGGTGCATTGGCAGGAAGCTGCACTGGAACCTTGCCAGCTAGCTGGGGCGCGTGCTGGCACTGTGATGTGGGATGCCACCACGGTATACTGGGATTCACCCGCCAGGGCACAGTGCTGGCCCGGTATGCTGCAGTTCATCAGTAACAAGCTCTCTCAAATCTTTTGTGAAATAAAGCATGGACATATCCATGACAAATTGCAAAATATAATCAAAGGCAGCTTTCCCAGCCAGATGGCCTATCAGGTTGCAAGAACACTGGATTCTATGAGCAGTTCAGCATGGGGCTGAGTGCCTAGGTGGCAAACACTGCATGTGAGGGACAGCCCAACAGGCCGGCGGTGTCCCCAGAGGGGCTGCTTGCTGTGACCTGAGAACTCGAGATGTGGATCTGGAAGCAGCTGCCGAGTGTGGCAAACACACCACACTGCACATGCCAGCTCCTGCCGACAAGGGGTGCTGGCCAGGGTACTGTGTTGACAAGATTCCTCAGCTGTGTTGGGTGGAAGGGTGTTGTGGTTGATAAATGAAAGGAGGGCACAGGGGTACTGAGTGTGTCTTCTACCCATGATTCCTGGAAAGCTGCTCTGATCCAAATGCGAGGGCTGGGGTGGAATTGTGGAAGAGAGCTACAAAGGAAACCCCCAAGGGCAGGGCAAGGAGCCCAGGGTAATGGAAAAGCAGGCCTTCTCATATTCCTTAGGCTTTGGGGGTTTCCCAGGTTGGAGATGAGCTGTTGCCAGCAGCCAGCAGCTGGACTCCCAGCTGGGTGGTCCTGGGCAGTGGCCCAGAGAACACTGTTTACTCACCATCTTCCCTCCTGTTGCCCGCATGTGGTGCTGCTCAGCCAGCCAGTGCTTGTCCTGCGGGTCGGCTGCATACTGTGAAGCATGAGAAGGGGAAGTTGTGAGAGGCTGGCAGGTCTCCCCGGGAGCCCGGGCCTGGAGGATGCAGGAGGCCCACTAATCCCTTCAGGGCACACTCAGTCATGCTAGCAGGCTGGCTCACAAGACCCAGTTCCCAGAGAATGAGCACACTGCTAACATCCTCACCTGTTTCCTTGTTCAACAGCCTCTCTAGCAACTGGTGGGACAGACAGCTACTAATTTAGAACCTTCTCTAAACTAGTGCTTTTTTTTTTTTATTTGAAAGTCGGAGTTACAAAGAAAAAGGGAGAGACACGGAGGGGGAAAGAATTTCCATCTGCTGGTTTATTTCCTAAATAGCTAAAAAAGCCAGGCTAGGCCAGGCCAAGGCTAGGAACTCAAGAACTTCTACTGGACCCATATTGGATGTTGCTTTCATAGTCAGTGGCTTAACTCACTTTGCCTCCTCTTTTAAATTTATTTTTAAAAAGTATTTATCTATTTGAAAGGTAGAGTTACAGGGTGGGAGGAAAGAGAGACAGACAGATACTGATCTTCCAAGCCCTGGTTTACCCCCAAAATGGCTGTATCAGCCAGGGCTGGGCCTGGCCGAAGTCAGGGCCTTTTTGTCTTTCACCTGTCCTCCACTGCAGGGAGTTGGACTGCAAGTGGAGCAGCCAGGATTCAAACAGGCACCCTAAGGGATGCCGGCACTGCAGGTGTTGGCAACCTGTCAAGCACTGTGCTTGCCCCAGAGCCTCCCCTTTAACGCAAGCTCTGCAGCTCTTG